ATATTTTTCCTCCTTAGTGCTAACATAATGAAGAGCATGAAAGAGAAGTGAATTTTGCTTCATATTGCACAGCTATCTTGAAACCCTGAGTCAAATTAAAAAACTTATCCAGCAATTCCAGTCTGGTTTAAGGTGGAATAAAGCAAAAATTAAAATCTCTTACAAAGTCATCCTACTAATTTTTTTAAAGATGTCAAGTTTATTTTTCTATAACATATACAAGCATTCAACAATACACAAAAAATTTTAAATATAAGCTTATATCAATATCTTACATAATATCATAAATAAAAATATTGTTTTTAATTTAGCACATTATTATGTCCGCTGAATTGACAAGGCAGCTGCACAAAAGGTTTTCCCAAACTCTTCTCGAGCTCTAAAGTGCACTACCTGGAATTCATTATTCCTTTGGAATTTTAAGTTCTTAATTTAAAACATTTTAATAACCTCAAATGAATTTCCTACGTCAAATATATTTCCGTGCATTCAATTCTATATTTCCTTTATTTATTTCCTATCTTCAATTTCTTTCTTCCTTTTGTTTCCCCTTTTACTCTTTTCCTACACTGCTGCAAGCACTAAATTAATTTATTGTAGATTACAGTAATTAGGAATGCATAAATAACAGGTTTAGATTCACTAAAATGAACTAGCTTTACATACATATATGTATTTAAGTTATATTAAAACCCAAAAATCCTTCTCAGGTTTCTTCCCAACTTTGCACTTCCACCTGCCTATTGCGTACGGGCATGGGGGAAAACGAAAGCAATAGTAAGGAAAAAAAATGAAAACTTCACTTGTTATACATATATAATAATATATATTTGAAAATTTTATTTTAATTACCTCCCAACCACCTCAATTTCCACTTAGCTTGTTGGTTCCTTCTTGAAACAGTAAATGAGAGCAGCAGCTCTCAGTTTTCGCCCGATCCAGAGCTCTGCTCTGCCCAACTATGCCAAGTTCGCAGAACAGTTGTGGGAGAGAAGGGATGGGTAAAACAAAGATTTAAGATATATACATATACATATACATACACATACACATACATAAATATGTATGTATGTATGTATGTACACATACATAAATACATATGAGTATATATATGTATGTATGTATGTATATATATATA